TTATTATTATTATTATTATTATTATTATTATTGTTATTGATTGTTTTTATTTATCTTAGATTAGTGGATAAGTTAAGGAATAGAGTTTGTGAGAGTCTTATTTAAAGGACTTCTCATCTATTATTTTAGTTGGCGGATTCAAATAAAATATGAATTGATATCGTTTTTAAGTGCTTTTTGAAATTGCGATCTCGCTAATATGGTCTTACTCGCATGCTTTGCTACATTAGTTGGTATCAAAAGTCATCGCAATTCAAGATTTTGCCGCCAATACACGACATCGACGAGCGTGACGCTACCATTGAGCATATGGGTCGACAAGCCACGGGCTTCAGCTGCCAGATCGACCTATTGGATCGTCGGGTTGAAGATCTTTCAACAGGGGTTGAGGAAGTGCGTCTTACGATTAACAACATGATAGAGAATTTGCAGACGAGCCATGATGCTGGCAACCGGGGCGTGCGCGGGGGAGTTAGTGGAGGACGTGGAGCCATGGTCCAAGCGGGGCGCCCCGTCGGAGATCTCCACAACCATTGTTTAGCAACGAAGGGTGCAATGAGACGATCTCGGAAGTGAATCCTTCGACGGTTATCTACCTCCGCAAGTTGAGCTGAGCCCTTCGCTGCATACGACAGGTGACCAACTGCCGGGCCGCGACCCGGCCCGACCCGCCCGCCGGGTCGGCGGGCCTCAATAATATGGCCCGTGACCGGCCCGAAAAAACCTAAGGGCCGGTTCATAGAACCGACATGGAACCGCCGGTTCACCGGCCCGGCGGGTCTTGGACGGTTCCGGTCCGGTACGGGCCTTAAAAAACAAACAAAAAAAGCAATGTGACCCGTGACCCGGCCTGGTGGGTCAAAAACCAAAACATTATAAACCAGGACCGCACCGCAACCCTGCGGGTACGGTTCAAGGAACCGGCCCTTAGGAGAGCGGTTCTGGGCCGGGCCGGGCCAGGCCGGGACCGGTTCGGCCCGTGGACACGTCTAACGACAGCTGTGATATGCGGGCGACGGGGCCTGGTATTCGCGGATGGCGACGTTCAACGCAGTGACAGGGGCTGACGCGAGGAGGTTGCCTTCGCTGACAGCTATCGTCTCCGATGCAGTTGGGGGTTTACTACCATGGGTGCGATACCACACATCGGCCACAGGAGCGCATCGGCTTCGAGGGCAAGCCTTCCGAACTGGGGGATAATGGTGTTGACTTTTATTATTATTATTATTATTATTATTATTATTATTATTATTATTATTTGTTTTTATTTATCTAGGTTTGGTGGAAAATTAATGAGTAGGTTTTATGTGAGCCTTATTTAAAGGACTCATCATCTATTATTTTAGATGGTGTATTTGAAGAAAATATGTATTGATATCGTGTTTAGGTGTTTATGAGATTGCGATCGCATTAATATCGTTGTTAGGATATTTGGCCCAGTAACCAAATCCTTATCTCAGGCCCAAGGAAGTCTCGGCCCATATTCCCGTCTGGGCCTGGCCCTTTACCCACTTACCTGGCAGAATGTCCTTGACCGTTGGATTTAGGGGATTAATCCCAGCTCTCCATCCTAGCCTTAAATACCTCACACTCTAACCCTAAATCAGATTACACTCATCTCACCTCTCTCTCTTACAAGCTGCGCCCGTTTTCTCTCTCTCTGTGCGACAGAATTGTGCTCTCTCTCTGTGAGTGAAAATCCCGATCGATCTGCCTCTCTTAACCTGTTCTTCGTGACCTTTTAAAGCCTGTGAGAGTTGAGTGCCGCCGTTGCGCCGCCGCATCGTCGCGTTGCTCAGCCCGCCGGTAAAGCCCTTGCGTGGGATTTCCGGCGAATCTCCGTGTGAGAGGAGGGGCTTTGCGACGGAGTGGCCAGGTGTGTGGCTCGAGGGTGAAGGAGCAGCCCGGGGATTGGGCCGAGGAACCGGGGCTGCCGTCCGTTGGTCACCACCGAGCCGCTACTTACCGAGGGTGCCGGGTTTAAGGATAATCTGAGCCGGGAGACTTCGTGTCGTCATTATCCGGCCAGATTTCGGTCAAAGGGAGTTATTCTTTCCATTTTCTGTTGTTCCAGTTTTTACCTTGTATTTACAACTTTTTACTTAGTGTATTGATTCCCTTTACTTCTCTGTTTTTAGTTGCTTCTGATCATTTATTCTGTGTGTTGTGATTTGCAGCTGAAAACGAGTAAGAAGGGGCTGTTGAAGTGCTACAAGGGGTTGGCCGGACTGTAAGAGAGCTGTTCGGGAGATACTGGAGACGAGCAGCACACCCAGGACTAGGTGAGGACGTGCATTGCGGTCAGACGAGCCAACAAAAGAAGCTTTCGCTGCGTACGAGTCTATCGGTGTGATCGGGACGACCACATAACAGTGGTATCAGAGCCGTCCCGCCACCGCAGGTAAGTCGAGCACCTACGTGTTCTCGCTCTGGTATTGGCTCTAAACTCATCTTTTTACCGCTTTTATTATTGTAGACCCTGGACGGGGATTGCGTCCAGGGAATAGGATTATTGTAGCCTCTGGACGGGGATTGCGTCCAGAGAATAGGATTGCGTGTTGGGAAACTAGCTGCTAGATCATTTGGTTAGATATGCATGCTATGTGTTAAATGTGCTTATCTTTGTTGCTCTGCTGTGGCTATTTTCTGTGGTTCAAGCATTAAATTTCGTATTTTCTGCTGTCTTGTGCTAATTTTCAGTGAAATTTGCTTCGTGTTAAATTTCTGTTATTTTTTGAGTCTTTGTGCCCCATTTGTTGCTGTTCATTAAGCTGAAAATTGCTTGTTAAATTGCTGAAAATTAATTGGTGCTGAAAACTACGTGTTTATCGAGCTGAATATTAATTTGTGCTGATCTCTGTGCGATTTTAAGTGCTGAAAAATCTGATTTTAGGCTGAAAACTGAGTGTGTTAATTGCTGAAATCTGTGCTAGTATTTTCTGTGAAATCTGCTGTGTTTTCTGTTAAAATGGCTTCGTTTCCAGCTTTTAATGTAGCCCCGTTTGACGGGAAATCTGATTTTTCAATTTAGCAACAAAAAATGAAAGAAATTTTAATTCAGCAGAGGGTGTTTAAAGCCGTTGAAGGCTCGTTTCCACCCGATGAACCTTCTGATAAAATTGCTGAAATGGATCAATTTGCTTACTCGTCAATTATCTTGAACTTGGCTGACTCTGTGCTTAGGAAAGTTGGTAAACTTGATTCTGCTAAAGATTTGTGGGAAAAATTAGAAGAATTATATATAAACTTCGTTGTCGAGTAAATTGTTCTTGCTTGAAAAATTTTTCCGATTTAAACTTGATCTTTCGAAAGATATTGATGAGAATCTTGATGTGTTTACTAAACTTGTTCAGGATATTAAATTGACCGGTGATAAGCATATTGATGATTATACTCCTATTGTGCTCTTAAATGTTATTCCTGATTCATACAGTGATGTCAAATCTGCTATTAAGTATGGTAGGGATAATGTGACTCTTGACACTGTTGTGAATGGATTAAAGAGTAAAGAATTAGATTTAAAAGCTCATAAGGGGAGTAAAAATTCGGGTGAGGTTCATTTTGTTAGAGGTCGACAACAAAATAGATTTCAAAATCAAAAGTCTTCTAATAATAATGGTAACCAACCTGAAAAGAAAAAAGGTAAAGCAAAAAGTCGTTCTAAATCCCGTCCGAAAAATCGTAAGTGTTACAATTGTGGTGACATTGGACATTATGCTAAAGAGTGCACTAAACCTAAAAAGAATCAAGCTAATGTGGCCTCGTGTAGTGATAAACTTGGTGATGTGTTTGTGGTGACTGAAATATGTGATATGCATGCTAATGTGAATTCTATGCATTCTTATCTTTGTGAAAATGAATGGCTTGTTGATTCCAGTTGCACTTTTCACATGTCTTTATAGAAATCTGTTTTCAAACTACAAACAGGTTAAAAATGGCTCTGTTTCTATGGCAAATGAAAAACTTTGTGATGTTGCTGGTATTGGTGATGTGTGCCTTAAGTTTAACTCCGGTTATGTGCTTTGTTTGAAAAATGTTCGTCATGTTCCTGACTTATGCCATAACTTGATCTCTTGTGCTGCTCTTGAGGATGACGGGTTAGAGGGTAAATGGGGTAAAGGGGTTATGAAAATTCTTAAAGGTTCATTGGTTATTTTCAAAGCTGAAAAACGAAAAAACTTGTATGTTTGCACTACTACTTGTGAATCACATGCTGAAATTTCTGTGAATGCTGTTCATGTTGACCAAAATGATCTTTGGCATAGACGTTTAGGTCATATGAGTAGTCGTGGTCTTGAAATTTTGCATAAAGCGGGCTGTTTTGGTAAAGATAAATTATCTTGTGTGCCGTTTTGTGATTCTTGTGTACTTGGCAAACAACAACGTGTTAAATTTCCTGTTTCACCTTCCCCTAAACCCTCTATGTGTTTTGAAATTCTTGAATATTTGCATGCCGATGTTTGGGGTCCCGCTAGTGTTCCGACACATGGCGGGAGTAGGTATTTACTGTCTGTGATAGATAATTTTTCAAGAAAAGTCTTTGTGTTTCTTTTGAAAAATAAATCTGATGTTTTCGAAACGTTTAAGACTTGGAAAACCTTGATTGAAAACCAAACCGGTAAAAAGATTAAAATTCTTAGGACTGATAATGGACTTGAATTTTGCAATAATTGTTTGAAGAATTATGTGCTCAATCTGGTATTCAAAGGCATAAAACCGTGCCTTACACCCCTCAACAAAACGGTGTTGCCGAGCGAATGAATAGAACTTTACTTGAAAGGGTGAGGTGTATGTTGTCTAGTTCGGGTCTTTCAAAAAAGTTTTGGGGTGAGGCTGTTTTAACGGCTACTTATTTGATAAATAGGTCTCCTTCCGTGCCTTTGAATGGTAAATGTCCTGAGTTTGTTTGGTCTAGAAAGGAAATTGATTTTTCAAACTTGCGTGTTTTCGGTTGTGCTGCGTTTTGTCATACAAAACTTGATAAACTTGAACCTCGCTCAATGAAATATGTTTTCTTAGGATATCCTGATGGTGTTAAAGGTTATAGATTGTGGCTTAGAAGTGTACCCGGCTTTAAGGTCGTAATAAGTCGTGATGTTGTGTTCAATGAATCTGAAATGCCATGTTTAATTGCTTCTTTGCCTGCTCCTTTACCTGATGAATCTGAAAATGCTCCAAATGCGGTGGAGCAATTGAGTGGTTTAAGTGAGTTCGATAATTTTGAAAATATGCATGCTGAAACTGAAACCGAACGTGCTGTGTTTGATAATCGACATGCTGAAATTGCTGAAAATGAACCTGTAAATGCTGAAACTGAAAATCAGCAATCTGAAAATTTCGAAAATGTCGATGTGCATGATGAATATGTGGAAAATGTGCCTGAAAATGATGTTGATTTGCTTGATTATCAACTTGCTAGAGATAGGACTAGAAGGGAGCGTAAGAAACCTTCTAAGTTTGATGATTTTCACATGACTTCATATGCTTTTGGTGTTTTCGAATCTATTGATAATTGTGAGCCTAAGTGTTATGACGAAGCCTTAAAATCTGTGAATTCTTTGCAATGGATGAATGCTATGCGTGAAGAAATTAATTCGTTGCATGTGAATCATACTTGGTCGCTTGTGCCTAAACCTGATAATTGTTCCTTAGTGGATTGCAGATGGTTGTATAAGGTTAAACAAGAAAATTATTCGGTTAGGTTTAAAGCTAGACTCGTAGCAAAAGGTTTCACTCAACGTGAGGGTATTGATTATACCGAAATATTTTCTCCTGTTGTTAAATTTACCACCGTGCGTATCATGCTTGCTTTAGTTGCTCATTTTGATTGGGAATTAAAGCAAATGGATGTTAAAACTGCTTTCTTGCATGGTGAATTAGATGAGAAAATATATATGAAACAACCTGTCGGTTTTGTGGATGATAAGAAATCTGATTATGTGTGTTTGTTAAAGAAATCCTTGTATGGTTTGAAACAATCTCCTAGGCAATGGAACAAGAAATTTGATATGTTCATGCTTTCTTTAAAGTTTAAGAGAAGTTCTTATGACCATTGTTTGTACTTTAAAGAAAATTCTTCTGTTCCTGTTTTTCTGCTCATTTATGTGGATGATATGTTGCTGATCGGTCTTTGTATTAAGTCTATTGAGCATGTTCAAAAATGTCTAAGTGATAAATTTGATATGAAAAACCTTGGAGATGCTAAAAGGATTCTTGGAATGAACAATATTCGTGATAGGAAAAACTCTGTGATTTTTCTTAATCAAATTTCTTATGTGGAGAAGATTTTGAGTAAATTTTCTATGTCGTCCGCAAAATCCGTGAACGTTCCCCTTGCTGCCCACTTTGTGCTAAGTAAGGATCAGTCTCCTAAGACCGATTCTGAAATTTATTTGATGAAAAATGTGCCTTATTCAAATGCAATTGGTTCTGTGATGTATCTCATGGTTAGTACTAGGCCGGATATTGCATATGCTGTTAGTTGTTTGAGTAGGTACATGTCTAATCCGGGTATGCCTCATTGGGAAGCTCTTAAGTGGTTGTTACGTTACTTGAATGGTTCTATGCATGTCGGTCTGAAATTTTCTAAGTGTTCTGAAGGTGTTAAACTTGTTGGATATGTTGATTCGAATTATGCTAATGATAGAGATAATAGGAAATCAACAACTTCATATGTGTTTACTTTGTGTGGCTCTTGTGTGAGTTGGAAATCACAACTTCAGCATATAGTTGCCTTGTCTACGACCGAATCTGAATATGTGGCTGTAACTGAGGCCCTGAAAGAGGCTGTTTGGTTGAAGGGTCTTTTATGTGAAATCGGTTTGCTTGAAAAAGATGTTGTTGTGTTTTCCGATAGCCAATCGGGGATTCAATTGTGTAAAAATCCTATTTTTCATGATTGCACTAAGCATATAGACGTTAGGTTTCATTTCATACGTGATATTGTGTCTAAAGGCTTAGTTAATCTTGAAAAAATTGCATCCGAGTTTAACCCCGCTGATATGGGAACTAAGTGCTTACCTGTTGAAAAATTCAGATCGTGCATGAGAACTTTGAACTTCGATTCGTGTGATTGATGTGCTGTAATTTATGTGTGCTCGTAGGTAGTGTACTATGTGTTTGCTGTCTGTTTTGATACTTGTTCTAACTTCGTGAAAGTGCAGGTGTCGTCGTTAGGCGATGATGAAAGTCCTCCGGCCCCTCAAGGTGTTCGGTATTCGGTGGTGGGCCAAATCGGTGGAAAAATATTAGGATATTTGGCCCAGTAACCAAATCCTTATCTCAGGCCCAAGGAAGTCTCGGCCCATATTCCCGTCTGGGCCTGGCCCTTTACCCACTTACCTGGCAGAATGTCCTTGACCGTTGGATTTAGGGGATTAATCCCAGCTCTCCATCCTAGCCTTAAATACCTCACACTCTAACCCTAAATCAGATTACACTCATCTCACCTCTCTCTCTTATAAGCTGCGCCCGTTTTCTCTCTCTCTGTGCGACAGAATTGTGCTCTCTCTCTGTGAGTGAAAATCCCGATCGATCTGCCTCTCTTAACCTGTTCTTCGTGACCTTTTAAAGCCTGTGAGAGTTGAGTGCCGCCGTTGCGCCGCCGCATCGTCGCGTTGCTCAGCCCGCCGGTAAAGCCCTTGCGTGGGATTTTCGGCGAATCTCCCTATGAGAGGAGGGGCTTTGCGACGGAGTGGCCAGGTGCGTGGCTCGAGGGTGAAGGAGCAGCCCGGGGATTGGGCCGAGGAACCAGGGTTGCCGTCCGTTGGTCACCACCGAGCCGCTACTTACCGAGGGTGCCGGGTTTAAGGATAATCTGAGCCGGGAGACTTCGTGTCGTCATTATCCGGCCAGATTTCGGTCAAAGGGAGTTATTCTTTCCATTTTCTGTTGTTCCAGTTTTTACCTTGTATTTACAGCTTTTTACTTAGTGTATTGATTCTCTTTACTTCTCTGTTTTTAGTTGCTTCTGATCATTTATTCTGTGTGTTGTGATTTGCAGCTGAAAACGAGTAAGAAGGGGTTGTTGAAGTGCTATAAAGGGTTGGCCGGACTGTAAGAGAGCTGTTCGGGAGATACTGGAGATGAGCAGCACACCCGGGACTAGGTGAGGACGTGCATTGCGGTCAGACGAGCCAACAAAAGAAGCTTTCGCTGCGTACGAGTCTATCGGTGTGATCGGGACGGCCACATAACAATCGTCTCACCCGTACGCTTCCCTACACCATTGCCATAATTATTTGTTTCATGGACATATTCAAAAGCTCCTTTCTTCCCCTAAGACCAAAGTACGCATAACTCTGCATATTATATATACGAATATACAATTTGGTGAGGAAGGAAATTTGAGCCTCACAAGCCACATGCCTTATCATCCACGAGCTTTTCTTGTCTGTGACAAGTCGGATTCTTATGTATTATGGGTCACTACAAAAAAAACTGCATTTGGCGACGCTTATTGGTGAGTTGTGTTGCTAAATTTGATGTCAGAAAAAAATAAGCGTCAGTAAACAAAAAAATAAGCGTCGCCAAATGCAGTTTTTCTTGTAGTGTGTGTAAAAAAAAAAAAAAAAAGGATTCTTATGTATCATGTGACAAGTATCCATGTGTATATTAGATAATCTTGAATTTGACGTACATAATAACTTGAAAATCCCACCAGTTGAGATTTAAAATTGTTAATAATCAGATGGGAGTCCTATCCTCTCTTCGGAGATTTGATTCCTCGATGTGCATGTATAATCCCTCTTCATGGTGAACAATTTTAATTCACTTAAGTATAGTCTCTTTCAGTTCCCCTTTTTTCTAGTGTTTAGTTGAGCGTTTTGTAGTCTTTCATGTGCTGTGGTTCTTTTTCTTGTTATGTGCCAGGTTCTTTGATTTTCCACTGCTTGTTTGTGCCTCCAAATTAGAACTATTTCAACTTTCGGATAAGGAAAATAAAGTCATTCCAATCGTCACGGAGGACATACAACATAGTGCCGATGAATGTGTAGGGAGTCTATTTGGCAAGATATTAGGACAAAAAAGCAAATCTTGTTGGTATCCGAAGAGCTGACAATCAGATGCGGCGGATTAGATCCTCGGAGATGGTAAAAGAACTGAATCCGAACTTCTTTCAGTTTGTGTTTTCTGATAATGCGAACAAAGTGAAAGTTAGTGAAGGCTGCAATTAGACATTTGAGAACCAGTTTCTAACATTAAAAGAGTGGTCAGAAGGCATTAATGCGGATTATCCTTGCTTCCAAGAACTCAAAATTTGATTGTGGGCCTGGAATCTCCGTCTCAACTGTTTCTCTTCGGAAGTTGTCCTGAAGCTAGACAGAGTCTTTAAAAGGGTAATTGATGTAAATTTCCCCTCAGAAAGCCTCAGAAAGGAACGAGCATTGTGCACATGCTAGTCGTAACTGAAAGACATAAAAACCTCTGATATAAGATATTATACTAGATTCTTTATTTATTTTTAAAAACCTTCTATGTTCAAATTATAAACATAGGTGTAAATTACACTAAGGAGGGTACATTCATGATACAAAATATAGGGAGATGCTATGGTCCCGTTACGGAACCATTTCGTCGGAGTTTTATCAACTATCCCCGACGGTTACATGATGATCTAACGGTTACAAACCCGACAGAATGATTTCGTAACGGGATCCTAACATTTCCCCAAAATATATGTTTTGAAAAAGATGCGTAAATATTAATTCAAATGGTGTATTTATCTTGATCCAGTTATTAACATGAGCTGGGCTATGACCATAATGTTGGGCCTATCGACAATTTATATGTATACATATATGAGAAAATTACCCTCCGTCTCATCCTAGCTTTTTATATGGCCCATTATACGAGCTAAAAAAATAATCACACATTAGGTTCCATGAAATCACATTGACGAGATTATAAGTTTCAATACCACTTTGGTTCCTTTAATTAATTATTAATTATCTTCTGTGATTTTTCCTCCATCACCGCCTACCTCTTCACGCAAATAAATTTTCACCACCGTCTTTCACGCACCATCCTTTGTAGCCGCCTGTCACCCCTGCGAAGCCCCTTTTTAATTTTCCTCCAGCGACCGATTTCACTAGAATTAAGGTTGTGAAATACAAGGACCGACTTGATGAAGGTGTCCAACAGATCCACGAGAGCTTCTCCGCCTATGCCACTGGCGGGAGGTTTGCATCCTCATCGCTATCGAATCAGTCGCTAACGTCACCCTCGATTCGAGATCTTCTCTCTGTCCGATTCCTTTCTCCCGCCGTCGGTGCCACCGTCACCATAAGGAGCTGGGAATGGAAAAGGTGTGCTTTACTAAATTATTTGGATCCATAGTTGTGATTTACTTGTTTAGCTTTTTCTTCTTTTTTTTTTTGTTTTTGTTGTGGGAGTTTCATAGATTGATATTAGATCTATGATTTACTGATTTTCGGTTTATAAAAATGTTTTACATTTTAGTTTCCAACTTGTTTTGTGAGAGAAATTGAAAGATAATTTTACTGTAAAAACATGATTTATTTATTTTTTAATTTATTTATTTTTTTCTATT